CTTTGGTGATGTCCTTGAGAATTTGCATTGATTTATGCAAATATTATTTAGCAGGGGAGGTGCTGTAAGACCAGCATTCACATTGACTTCCATTGCAAGAGTAGCAAGTGTCTGGTACCAGAATCTCAAGGTCACCATCCCCCAAGATCTGTCAGAGGATCAAGTTATTCATTCTCTGGATAAGCGCAAGCTTCGAGGGTGAATTCAGTGACAGCAAAGAGAACTCTATGGTTCATACCTTGGTTGGCAGACCCATCCTCAAAGCAGAGTTGCTGCAGGCTCCTGTTTATTGGACAGATACTTTTTGGCCAGAAGTTGGATGCGACTATTTCAAGAGTCAGGTCTTCTTTCACAGGATAGGCATTTGAGGCACAAGCAATTCCGGTCTACTAGAGGGCAGTCCAAATTCAGGAATTCAAAGTCCTTTCACCAGAGCAGGACCTTCCAGAAAAGATGAAAAGGTACACAGGCCACCTCTTCTAAAAACGAGGAGACCGAAGTCCCTTTCAGCCCTTTCAGATTCCCAGATTCTTTTTGATGTGAGGACCACCCAGACAGGTGTGGTAGAGGCAAGATGAACATCTGGATAGCACAAGATCATAGGGTTCTGTCCCTGGTAGAATGTGGACACTTTTTGGTGTTAAGATGCGGAGCATTCCTTCACCCTATGATATTTTCTGTGATTACTTGGGCAATTTCCTAGCCCTCTATCTAGATGAGATTTTGATTTTTTTGTGACTACCTGGGCAATTTCCTTGTCACCCTGGAGCTTTCCTTCATCCCCTGAAGGCCATCTATTGGTGCACCGACATTTTGTAGCTGCATACAATAATTCCAGTTCTTCATTCAGAGAGATTTATAGGCTTTTACTCTCCTCTGCTTCTCACACGAAAGGAAGTCTATGGTTGGAGACAAGTGATCAACATAAAGAAATGTAATCATTTAATTTATGTGAAAAAATGCAAGATGGAGTCTCTGCATACAATTGTTTAAGCCAGCCAAGGGGACTGTGTCATGTACCTTGGTTGGAGGCCGAGCTGACAAAAGGATTTCCCTTATGGCTCTGGTCGGAACACCCCTGAATGTGGTTACAGAGGCACAGGGCTCAAGGTGATGGCAGCTGGGTAGCAGGTGGAGACACCAAGAGAGGATTGTGGTTGGCAGACCACAGAGTGGCATCTAAGAAAAGAACATGTGAAATATGGTGTGAAAACGCAAGTAAAAGTATACTCAGAAGCAGAGGCAAGCCAAGGTCATACACGGATAGACAGAAGGAGGTTTAGTCAAGCAGATGTGGTCATATTTCTTTTTTAATAAAGTTTGATTATGCATCATAACCCTCCCTGTTCAGCTCTTCATTTTTAATAGGTATCCTGCCATGTTGACATCAGGAAAACAAAAAATCGTGTTAAACACTTTTTTACAGAGAATATAGTAGGTATATTGGTTCCTATCTACATTGGCCCTAGTATGTGTATGCTTGTATGTGTGCTTGTGAGATTGGGAGTTTAGGTTGTCAGCTACTTGAAGACAGGATCTGTTGAGAATGTACATTATGTAAAGCACTGCATAAACCAGTAAAGCTTACTTCTGTTTTTTTGTATATTACTTAAAACTTTTCTCAGGGTAGAAGTTAAAAATACTATCAGTGATGAACTACCCTATACAAGTTTTGCTATCTGTTTTTTTTTTGTTTTGTGTTTTTTTTTTAAGCTCTATAAAGGACTTTCCAAAGCTGTTTATTATCTGTTATTTTCAGGTCTGGGGTATAGATCGCAGACCGAAGGTTCCTGACAAGCTAGACAGGGGTTTCAGCTCAGATTTTCCACTGAAAAAGAAAGGGAGGTGGGACAGCCCTTATAGTGTAGTAGATTAATTACAAAATAAGAATGCAGTGCTTCCCCAATAAAAGAAAAAGGTCAAAATGGACTTACAGCTGTTGAGGCTGCAGTCACCCAGCTAAAAGGGAACACGTGTCCTTCCTAGTGGATGCGGGTGGAGAAAACTTGTCTCCACATAGGGTCAGTGTGGTCACTGTCTATGCCTCGGGCATTCCCATCCTGGGTGCTCTTTGGGGGTTCTCAGGTGGGTGAACAAATTGTTAGAAAGAGTCAACAGAAAAAGGGCCCTTAGGTAATTCGATTGGCAGAGATGCCCCATGTGGTTGTTCAAAGGATAGGCATGAATCGCCTGCTTTTAGTAAAATATCCACTTACTTTTATATACAAAAAATAGTGAAGCGCTTGATAAATAAACATATATAAATATATATATTAAAGTGCCATCAGTGAATATAGGTGATAGGTATTAATAATTCCTTGTTAAACGCTGGAACATTAAACCCAATAATATATTTAAAATAATAAAAAAACCCAAACTGAATTCATAATATATATAAAAAAAAACGGTGATAATAACTAAACGAATAATCACACCAGTGTCAAATAATCTTATATCTCCAAGGGGTTCCTTATTCTCCTTCACTATTTAAATTGAAAGTGCTCATCAATAATTAAAGTGAACGTGTGTATACAAAAAAGCTTAATTTAAGTGCATATACAGAACATATATATATGTATAAATCATATATCATATATATATAAATAAAGTCCATGCAAGTGTAGCTTGTGATAGAACAGTGGTCTTCACTTCTAGTGCTCAAACACAAAATCCTCAAATGGCAGCAGTGCCTGCTCACCTCCCCGCACTGACCCTCAAGGGGCCAAAAGGCTAATGATCTCCTCTATGGCCAAACTTTTTTTCCTCCTCCTCTCGGTAGCTCAGCAGGTGATCACAGGGTCTCCACTTCTCCTCCACTCATATGTTATATAGGACACAAAACAGAGCTTCCCATAGTATAATATTGTTTAATGTAAGCCACTTCTATTACATATTGGTTGTACTCACATTTGATTTCCTGGTTTTGAACCCACATTTGAACCCTGATGAAGTCACGATGCACGTGACGCAACGCGTCGGTACGCCATATCCGGTTTGGAACTACGTCACTTCCGGTCACGTGGGACGCATGTCCGAACGGAGCGGCCATATTGGTTTCCCCCTGTGTTCATGAGATACACCTATGGCATGAGGTGGAAGGCTTTTGTAACCAGGAAATCAAATGTGGCAACCAATATGTAATAGAAGTGGCTTACATTAAACAATATTATACTATGGAAAGCTCTGTTTTGTGTCCTATAATGAGTGGAGGAGAAGTGGACCCTGTGATCACCTGCTGAGCTACCAAGGAGGAGGAAAAAAAAAGTTTGGCCATAGAGGAGATCAGTAGCCTTTTGGCCCCTTGAGGGTCAGTGCGGGGAGGTGAGCAGGCACTGCTGCCATTTGAGGATTTTGTGTTTGAGCACTAGAAGTGAAGACCACTGTTCTATCACAAGCTACACTTGCATGGACTTTATTTATATATATATATATGATTTATACATATATATATATGTTCTGTATATGCACTTAAATTAAGCTTTTTTGTATACACACGTTCACTTTAATTATTGATGAGCACTTTCAATTTAAATAGTGAAGGAGAATAAGGAACCCCTTGGAGATATAAGATTATTTGACACTGGTGTGATTATTCGTTTAGTTATTATCACCGTTTTTATATATATTATGAATTCAGTTTGGTTTTTTATTATTTTAAATATATTATTGGGTTTAATGTTCCAGCGTTTAACAAGGAATTATTAATACCTATCACCTATATTCACTGATGGCACTTTAATATATATATTTATATATGTTTATTTATCAAGCGCTTCACTATTTTTTGTATATATTTGGTTACTTTAAGGTTAAGGTAGAGTGACAGCAGCTGTTGAGATAGGGACCTTGCCTGTATTGAGCGCAGGAGGATACTTGTAATATTGTTATCCACTTACTTTATTTCACCAAATAAAACACGTTTGTTGGCCTTAAATTGCCACTCCTCAGTTCAAGGTGATACAATTGGTGTCTAGTAACATCTGATAGTGAGATCCACTTGGGAAATATTCCTTACTAGCCACTAGGTGGAGTGTAGAGATTGTGGCAGTGATGTCATCTAGATGGATCACATGAGCTACAAGCCACAAACTCTAAATTCCACCTAGTGGCTAGTAAAGGATATTTCCCAAGTGGATCTCACTACCAGCTGATACTAGACTCCAATTTTATCACCTTGCACTGAGGAAGTAGCAATTTAAAGCAACAAAACGCGTCTTATTTGGTGGGTATAATAGGGTTAATTAGGTCTGGTTAGGGTAAACTAAAGGTTAATAAGTGGTTAAATATATACAACTTTTATATAAAAACTCTTTTTTTTACTTGTAAGGTTATTTAACCACATGCCCTCCAGATGATTAACTCCTCTTCCTGACCAGGCCATTTTTTTGCGATACAGTGCTGTGTTACTTTAATTGACAATTGTGCGGCCATGCAATGCTGTACATAAATTAAATTTATGTACTTTTTTCTCACAAATAGAGATTTATTTCGGTGGTATTTGATCACCTAACAATAAAAGACTGACAATTTTGAAAAAAAAAACCTATGTTTTTTTTTACTTTTTCTATAAAACATATCCAATAAAAAAAAGGTTAAAAATCAAAATTCATCATAAATTTCGGTCAAAATGTAGTCTGCTACATGCCTTTGCTAAAAAAAAATCCCAATACATGTAAATTAATTGGTTTACGTGAAAGTTATAGCATTTACAAATCGCAGTATATATACTGGAATTTTAATTTTTTTTTATACTAGTAATGGCAGTGATCAGTGACTTATAGCGGAGCTGTGGGACTGCGGTGGGCATTCTGACACTGGGTGGGAACTGACTAACTGCCACAGACATCCCTAGTGGCACTAATACAGTGATTAGTGTTAATAAAAAGCACTAACACTGTACTAATGACACTGGGCAGGAAGGGGTTAACATCTGGGGTGATAGAAGGGTTAACTGTGTGCTGTGTGTGTTTTACATTACGTGCTGTGTGTGTTTTACTAGAGAGACATGCTGCTTTGTATTTCTCTGCTGTGCAGAGAAATACAAAGCAGCATGTCCTTGCTGGCAGGAGAGAGACCTGTGTTGTTTACACACAGGTTTCTCTCCTTTCAGCTTTCCTCAATGATCACCGGGTGTCGGCGGGGAATCTCTGGCCCGGACCCAGTGATTGACATCCCTAGCTGCCAATGGTATATACGTGATTTTGCGCAGCCCTGCCACCCTGTAGCAGTATTTCGGTTAACGGTTTTAAACGGTTAAACCGATGCCAAAATGCAAATTGAAGCTCATCCCAGCAGATGAATTAAACAGTATACATACAAAAGTAACAAGAATGATGTATCTTTAAGGGATGGGTCACACTCAGAATCACACAGGAATGCTCTGTGCATTCCTGCACAATTTACATGCAGCTCTGTGTGCTGCAATATCAAGCCATTCAGTTTGAATGGGCTGAAATCACACTGCACCGCACCAAAAGTACATTTGGAAACACGCTGCAACTGGATCATACTTCTGTACCATTAGATCCAATGCAGGCAAATGCACTGTGGTAACTTAAAGTGTTACTAAACCCACAACAGTAAAATCAGTCTGTATATACAGTAAAGCACGCTTGTTATACTCACTGTGGAACCTAAGGGGTTAATCTTCTGCATTGTGTAAAAAGGCTGTTTGATCCTGACTTCTTTGATCCTCCCCCTCTTTCAGCGCCCCCCTCCTGATAAGACATATCCTGTGAAGTCACTCTGCACATGCTCAGTTTGGTGTGTATTGCTAGAGAGGTTTTTTTGTGTTTTTTCCTTAGGAGAAAGCATGTGATCAGCACTGTCCAGACAGAGGTCAGAGGTTCAGCATCCTGCTAGAGCAAAATTAAAACTCCTCGTACAAGCTTTAACCAGGGCTCGGATGGACACTGGTAGACTGCTCTAACTGCTGATGAGAAAAGGTGTTTAGCAGGGAATGAATGAAGGGTCATGAGTTTACTAACACTTTAATATTGACACCCGATGCAGATTGCAATTGCAGTGCATTATGAATGCGCATGGAAAGCGGGTTTCCCGCACCACATTCTGGTGTGAACTGGCCCTCTATCTTCTGTCTTGTGCAGTGTTTATAAACACTGCGCCATACCATCTATTTTTTTACTGCAGCATCTTCTACATGGACTTTTCTCCTTGAAATAGGCTAATATGAGCATGAACCTCTGCCACCTAACATACTGTGAGTAGGCATGTGCTGTTTGATTGAGAAAGATTTGTTTGAGTGACTTGATTTGGGACTAGTTTGGGCATGCACCTTTGCCACCAAAGGAACTGTGAGGGGCATCTGCTTTATGACTGAGAGACACTTGTGTACACTACTTGTAACACCTGGATTAAGTGATTTCTTTAAAGACCCAGTGGATGTAGCGACAATGCCATGTGAGACTGACTGTTAGCTGCATTATTCAGGAGTGAACTTCCATATTAAAAAAAGTTTGCGCATGTATTTGCACTGCCCTGTGATGAAAACTACATTACTGTGACATTTGGGTGATGGACCGCAGTATCATCTAGGAATTAATCCTGTGAACTCTGGGACAAGGTGGATGCCTTACTGGCCCAGCTCTTGGTCTATGTGTTACACTTGTTTTTCTGGGTAACACATTGCATATACTGGCTGACTGTTTGAAATGTTGAATCCCAGCCCTGACATGCAATGTTGCTGCACTTATGTATACTACCCTGTGATGAATACTACATTGTGACATTTGGCTGATCACCCAAGAATTGTATATGGATTGATGCTATGAACTCTGGAACAAGGGGCAGCTTTATTGGTCCAACTATTGGTTCTGTAAGTCACAACACTTTTGCTTAAATGCTGGATGAATTTGAACTGTTGAATCTCAGCCTTGGCATATAATATTGTTCCACTTATACAACATATTTGAAGACCATAATTAACCATTATTAGGTAGATGAAATATACAATTTCATGCTCAGGTGAACTGTATTCATGCCTTTCGACATGTTGGATGGTATTCATTGTCTGGGGTAAACTATAAAAGCTGAATTGAGCTGGATTGTTGGATGTGAGACGTTGTCATAACTAATCACTGAATTATTTGATATGATGATTCATTGACTGAGAAACTTACAGTGATCGTTGGATTAGTCCTATTTTTATACAAAGTCTTTGGTGCACTTTACACACACACACAGGTCATACTGTGTATCATGACGTCAACATGTTTTGCCCAATAACAGGCTTCCTGCCTTTATAAGGAAGCCCTGCACTACTCTTAGGTGCTGGTTGATCTCTGGCTTCCCAGTACCTTGTTCCTGTTCCTGTGCTATTGTGATCTGTGATTTCCTGATACCGACTCGGCTTGCTCTTGGACCTGTCTTCTCTGCTTAACCCCTGATCTGACCTCGGCTTGGCTAATGGATATTCCCTCTTGCTCCTCTGTGTATGACCTCGGCTATCCCATCTGACTACTTCTGCTCTGATTTCCACCTGGTACCTGACCTCGGCTTTGAACTGGCTATCCTGTGATCCTCTGTTTCCCAGAAGGCTTGCATACCTCGCACAGGCACCACCTGTCTGCAGATACCATTTCAGCTGTGCTCCTGGGTGGACCGCCAGCAAGCACTCCTACAGGCGACCTGTGCCACTTTGGGCCTGACTCCTGCTGTCCCACTCTCAGGGGAGTCTGGAACTTAGCCTCAAGGGAAGCCCTCTCTCCATTGGCCTCTAAGGGCTCGTTCACACAAGCGTTTTACCAACACTTGCCAAACGCCCCTATAGCGTTTGGCAAGCGCTGGTCAGGCGTTTGCGGAGCGTTTTTTAACGCTCGACAAACGCTCCACAAATGCCGCATGTGCGGTTTAGCGGCAGTTGCTAGGCGTTTGCCGAGCGTTAAAAACGCCCCACAAACGCCTATAATGCAGTTTGAATGGTGTTACTGCTCCGCAAACGCCCTACAACCGCGTTGCAACCGCACCGCAAACGCCGGTCGGGCGTTTGTGGAGCGGCACCATAGACTAGAATAGGAGGCTTCAACGCCTCCTGACTCCACCAGAGGCATCCGTTTTGCCGCGACGTGACGCAAACGCTCCCGTTAGAACAGCACCATGTGCTGTAATGTGCAGAATTGGCAGAGGCTTTGGGAAGCGGTAAAAACGCTTCCCAAACGCCTCTCTGCCACCTGCACACAATGCTAGTGTGAACGTAGCCTAACACCAGGTACGTGATAGGAGCAGTGACTCTGTGCAGCTGCTGCATATTATTTGACATGAATGGAACTGCCTGCATGGGGATGCATGCAAAACCTGTGCATCCCACGCCTGTGTGGACAAACGCGGCCCTCACATGGGTGTATGATTAAGTATTTCTCTGTGAACAAGGCCTAACAATGACGTACATACATACACACGCATGTACATAAATATATGTATCCACATGCGCACATACATACATACACACATACAGGGGTTAAACAACAAAAATGGAAACACTACATGATTTGCAAGTGTGAAAGTGACAACATGTTTTGTAATGTTGTAAGCAGAAGTGATGTAACATTCTTTTGTGTAATGAGACTCCTCGCTAACAAGTGGGAAGCCTCACTTTTGTCATTCACTGCATGCGCTGCTAGTGGTTGCAATATGGTTTAACTGGATGGACTTTTGTCTTTTTTCAGCCAGACTAACTATGTAATATGGAGTCATGCCAGAAATACAGAATGTATTTTGGGGTGTAATTCCATATATACACATGGCATGTGTGAGCAATATATAATTTAAGTGACAACTTTGTGTAAAAAAATTAAAATTTTGTTGTCATTTTCCAAAAACTTGTGGAAAAAAAAAATCTCCCAGTGACTCAACATGCATTTCAGCAGATAACTTAGGGTGTCTACTTTCTGAAAAGGGGTCATTTGGGAGTGTTTGTACTATCCTGGTATTTTAGCACCTCAAGAAATGTGATAAGCAGTCAGAAAGTAAAAGCTGTGTAAATTTCAGTATCTATACCATAGTTTGTAACTTTCACACAAGCCAATTAATATGCAGTTATTGGGATTTTTCTTAACAAATACATATAGCAAAATACATTTTAGCATAAATTTATGTTGAAATTTGAGTTTATGGGATATTTTTTATAACAGTAATGAGAAAACATCGGGCTTTTTTCATAGTGCAAAACAAAAACCACAGAGGTGATCAAATACCACCAAAAGAAAGCTCTATTTGTGTAAAAAAAAAGGGACATAAATTTCATTTATGTATAGTATTGCATGACCGCACAATTGTCAGTTAAACTAGCGCTGCGCTGTATAGCAAAAAATGGCATAAATTGCAGTATTTATACCATAGTTTGTAAATGCTATAACTTTCACACAAAGCAATTAATATACACTTATTGGGAATTCTTTACCAAAGACATGTAGAAGAATACATTTTGACTTAAAGTTATGACTAAATTTGAGTTTACTATATATTTTCTATAACCGAAATTTTAAAAAATTAGTTTTTTTTTTTTTTACATTTTTGGTCTTTTTTTGTTTATAGTGCAAAAAATAAAAAACCCAGAGGTGATCAAATACCACCAAAAGAAAGCTATATTTGTGTGAAAAAAAGGACATAAATTTTGTATGGGTATAGCGTTGTATGACCACGCAATTACCAGCTAAAATAGCGCAGCGCCATAACGCAACAAATGGCCTGGTCAGGAAGAGGGTAAATCCACTGGAGGGCAATTGGTTAACCACTTGCCTAACGGGCACTTTTACCCCCTTCCTGCCCAGACAAATTTTCAGATTTCAGCATTCTCACACTTTGAATGACAATTGCGCGGCCATGAAACACTGTACCCAAACTAAATTTTTATCATTTTTTGAGACAAATAGTTTTTGTTTTGGTGGTATTTGATCACCACTGGGGTTTTTGTTTTTTTGCTAAACTAAAAATTTTTGCAAAAAAACTGTTTTTCTTAGTCTCTGTTATAAAGTTTTGTAAATAAGTAATTTTCGCCTTCACAGATTGGCACTGATAGGCTGCACTGATGAGAAGTCACTAATAGGTGGCACTGATGGACACTGTTAGGCTGCACTGATGAGCACTGTTAGGTGGCACTAATTGGCACTGTTAGGCGGCACTGATTAACTGATGAGCACTGATTGCCAGCACTGATGGCCAGCACAGATGGGCACTATTGGCCACACTGATGGGGCTATACTGATCACCAGGACACTGATGATCAGTGCCGTGATGATCAGTGTAGATGTCCCCCCTGCGAAAGGACACAGTGATCACAGATCACGTGCAGGGGCGCGGTTCTGGGAGGACGTCCATGGATGCCCTACCAGAACTAACCGAGTGCGCTGTAGCCGTTTTTCGGCTATAGCGTGGTCAGGAACAGGTTAAAGACATGGCGGCTGGCACTCCTTAACAACCAGCTATTATCAATAAATATTTGTTTGACTTGAATGCTTCAAACATGCAAATGAAATGAATAAATTTTGTTGTTTCGTTAAACTTTTGTGGATTATTTGAAATTCGTTACTGTTGTAATTCGGAAATCTGGGTACATCTGAATTTCCGAATAATGAATATTGTGCCCAAATTTAAATTTGGAATTAAATGAACCGCACATGTCTAATGAACAGTGTTTTTTTTTCCTGCCTAAATAACAACCACTCTCAATCTGCCAGTGCTTAGATTGTTGTCCCAAAGCTGGAAAATATTTTCACAGAGTAAGGCTACATGTGTAAAACATTCAATTCTGGTTACAGTGGTGTGATGTAGGAGTGTAATCAAATTCATCACATCACCTTCAAATCATACTGTTGACATTCTTGTGTGACAATAAAAGGTTCCAGACTGCATCCCTGCCTGCTAATGCCATCTGGCTGTGTCGCAGTTTGTGCATTTTTGATGGTGGGATAGTTGATGGCGGGATAGTTGGTGTCTATATGGTGTCTCTATACAGGTAGATCCAAACTGCTGACAGAATATTGAGACAGTTTTCTTTACAATTGTTTCTGTTTGTACTGACACTGGTTGGCCAGCAGTTTCTGACAGGCACTCTGTCTCCTGTCTAGCATGCCTTATGGCTTGTGCTGTGTGATAATAAGCTTAGTCAGTCAACAAGGATGGGGAAACCCAGATGAGCAAAAGAGAAAAAACTATGGTTACAACAGAGTTGGAATTAGCAGGTATTGTACATGTACAGGTATACCTCGGTTTATGAATGTAATGCGTTCTCTAGGATGTTTTGTATTGTGAAAAATCTGTAAACTGAAACGCGGTTTCTCATAGGAATGCATTGAAAACCAACTAATCCATTACGGATGTCAGAAAAAAAGTTTTAAAAAAGTCGCTGTCACTATAGGTCAGTGTCATTTTTTTTCTTCTTCACTATAGCTCAGAGAATCAGCTGTCACTTTCCCCCCAGCTAAAAGAAAGAAAGTTTCCTTATAGTTTTATTTCCCCGATTTTAAAAGAAACAATGTTTCCTTTTAGTTTGTTTTCTGAGATATCTGAAACAAAGTATCCTTTAGCTCCGGGGAAAGTGACAGCTAATCCTGTGAGCTATAATGAAGAAAAAAAAAAAGCTGGCAATTGCATTTAAAAATCGGCACCAACATACACTTCGTATTGCAAAAAAAATTCATAAAAAATTTGTAAACCAAGGCATTATTTTCAATGGATTTTCATTCGTAAACCAAAAATTATGTTAACCGAGGCGTTTGTAAACCGAGGTACACCTGTATTTGTCTTGTATCTGCTTTCTCTATATTTATTTAACTGCAGTGTCAATTGGAACAACAAACACATGTTATATATATAAATTATACTTGAGTTTATATCTTTATATTACATTTAAATGTTGTTTGTGTGTATTCCACCCTTGTAATATTTGATTTGTGCCATCTGTACAATTGGTATTGGATTTTGCTTTATTCAAAGCGCACAACAGAACATGTAACATCCAATAAGCACTTTCACCTTGCTCCCTGTGCTAAAACATCACTGGCATCTAACACTAGTAGCCCTGAAGTATGCCACCTAGAGCAAAGTTGAGTTCCATTGGAGGTGCACATCCCATGCTTTGGGAAACACTGATCTAAAATATAAGAATATTTAAAATATAAAATGCTACAGCGACCCTGTGCCTATATGAAAATTTTCAAGGCAAGCTGCACCTGTAAAGTAAGCAATGAATTACTCTCCTTTTACCTGCACCACCAAATGTAGCTCCACTCCACCTGTAATGATGGCCCAAGGGGAAATCAGTGAGAGCTGTGGGGGAGCCAGGAGATCGACATTTCTAGATGTGTCTGTCTGCACCACCAAATGCAACTCCATTCATGACTCATGAGAAGCCTAAGTGCGTTTTGACCACTGATGTAACAAAAAACCTTGCCCCCCCCAAAAAAAAAAACAGAGGCTGATTATGTTGGAACTAGGGCAAGGCCACAGCTTTATTGAACTTTTCAAAATGTAACAACATTCAAAGAAACCATATAACTATACCAGTCCCGGTTATACCATGAGCATCCATAACAAAAACACAGATAGTCTAAGAGGCCTGTCTTCACCATCAGTGCCAGACAGGCATTAAACTGACCCCAGAATTAAAATTGATAGCACAGCCCATAAAGCAATATCAACCACTGGCAAGGTAAAACAGCCAATAAAGCTGTGACGAAACTCACAATGGGTGGGAGGGTGGGCAACTATTGTGACGTCTGAATCTCCCCCAGAGTAGTGGGACGTGCCCCTGTGTAGCCTTTTTCTATAGTTCAGGTTCCACCCAGTCAACTCATGTCTTGGTGGCCAATCCTATCGCAGCCACTTAACATCTCTGTTTTAGGTTTACTCCAACATAGCTGCCAAGCTTCCAGCAGTCAAGGCTCCCTTTCCCAAGGAGGAGGGAGAAGGGTCAAGGGGCTTTCATTATCGTAACCTGAAGTCTGCTGGGAAACAGACACTTCCAGGAACATTGATCTTCTGTGTTCCCTGCAGCTCTCAATGATTCCTGCTATACTGACCTCCATGTCATCACTGTCTCATGTTGTGATGGTCCCAATTAGAAATCAGTGAGAGTTGCGGGGCAGCCAGAATATCAACATTTCCGAATGTATCTGTCTTCCAGAACACTTCCAGTGACCATCGCTGAGGAAGGAAGTGGTATTCCCCATCTTCTTTTACAGGTACAGCTTCTTGTGAAACAATTAGTAAAGCCACAGTGTTTAAGTTAGATGTTTGCCATACTGATATATTGTTGCAAAATGAAAATGTATTTTCTTCAGTGTATATTATAATCATTGATTTATTAATTGTTTAATTTTTACTTGACTTACAGGTTCAGTGTATGACATCAGTGGCTCTGAATGTTGTCTGTCAACTGGGGATTTGGTAAAAGTTATTGGAAAGGAATTGCAATCTGTTAGTCTTGTGAACATAAAAACAGGAGAGAGACAGACACTGTCTGATAGCTACCAAGGTAATATTAACTCATTTATTTATTTTTCCTTTACTTACACACTGTATTTTAAAAACACAGAAGTTTGAATTTGGCAGAAACACATTGAATCTGAGTAAAGACAGGACTCCTGATTGGCATACGTTTTATTCGGTTAGTGACTCAGAAACGTTTCACAGAGCATATTAAAGTTACAGAATGGAAAATAATATTAGGGGCTTCAGTATTTTTTTATGTTCTGTGTTCCAACAATACAGAAGGACAAGTGTTCAGAAAGCAAACCTGAGTCTCATACGGCATGTGCCATCTGAATGCACTAGTGGGCACAATACCCAATTAGCAAACATCTCAGAAGAAAACACGTCTTTAATTTTTGCACACTCTTCTAAATATAATGAACAGATTAACAATACCAATCAGGGAATAGATATTTATCATCTACTGAAATAAGTGAAAATATTTTAACCACATTGTAACAGGATGTTAATTTCACATTGTTTTCCCCCTCTAGTGAGATTTCTGGTGTAGTTATCACTTTCTACCACTAGATGTCCCCACCGATCCTTAGTTCCTTAAAGTGGAGCTCGACCCAAAAGGGGAAGTTCTGCTTTAAACCTTTGTCCCCCCACTCCCCATTAAAGATTGGCACCTTTGGGGAGCGGGTACCCGAATTTGACAGGTACCCGCTCCCACTTCTGCTGCGATCGCCTAGGTGATCGGAAGCAGACGTTATCCTCCCCCCTCCCTCCCCATAGTCTCCTGGGACACGTGACAGGTCCCAAAAGACTATAGGACTATTCACAAGGAATTTTCAAGCTGTCACAGCCGGGTGCCCACACTTAAGACGCCGGCACCAGGGAGAGAGGGCAGCTAGTGCATAACAGAGCAATACAAAGCAGCATGGTTACATAGTAAAAAAGCACACAGCACATAATATTCAACACAGTACATAGTTAACCCTTTGATCACCCCAGATGTTAACCCCTTCCTGCCCAGTGTCATTAGTACAGTGTCAGTGATTTTTATTAGCACTGATCACTGTATTAGTGTCACTGGGGATGTCAGTGACAGTCAGTTCACACCCAGTGTCAGAATGCCTGCCGCAGTCCCGCTATAAGTTGCTGATCACCGCCATTATTAGTATAAAAAAAAAATTACAGTATACATACCGCCATTTGTAGACGCTATAACGTTTACGTAAACCAATTAATTTACATGATTGGGATTTTTTTTTAGCAAAGACATAGCAGAATACATTTTAGCCTAAATTTATGATGAAATTTTATTTTTTACATTTGTGTACTGGATGTTTTATAGTAAAAAGTCATAAATATTAGGATTTATTTTCAAAATTATTGGTCTTTTTTTGTTTATAGCGCACTAAATAAAAAACGCAGAGGCAATCAAATACCACCAAAAGAATGCTCCATTTGTGGGAATAAAGGACATAAATTTCAATCAGGTGCAGCGTTGCATGATCTCGCAAATGTCAGTTGAAGTAAAATAAGCGCCGTATCACAGAAAATGGCCTGGTCAGGAAGGGGGGTAAATCATCTGGGGGGCAAGTGGTTAACAACCATGATATTTACTGGTTGTGAAGGACCCTGGCAGCTGCCTGCTAATTAAGAAACAAGCTATTTACTGAATGGCTGGTGCTGGCTCCTTAATAACCAATGTCAATTTATTATATTCATCAATAATGCGTGGCTAGATCAGGACTTATTCAACAAATGTATTTATATATATTGTTTAGTGAACTGACTGTAGAGTCAGTGTATGCCACATTTACCATACATTTTTTTACTAGGACTATATATACCACATAAACTGACAGTAAATTGACATGTTGAGGTATAAGAACAGCTGTCAAGTTTTTATTATTGTCTATGCTCCCATTGGTGAGATTCACCCTCTCTATTTGTGAAATTTACCATTGTCACCAAAAATTAAAGTGAAAGAGAATCCCACTTCATCAGAACAGAGGAAATCTTCCAATGGGGACAGCAGTTGTGGTGACAACTGGGAGTTACCTCCTTTAAAAGGAATTTACCCTCATTTTCTGTTTTGGCTATGGGACATGAAATGAAGGGAAATCTCCCCAAAAGGACACAGATGTCAGAAAAAAACTGACAGGGGTTATAACCCTCCCTTGTTCTATCCAAAATCTACCATAACTACCCCCCCTAGCTCATAACTAGCCCCCCACCCACATATTGAGCCCCCAAGTCATTTCCAATGCATTTTTTTTGTTTCAGTAATACTTAGTTTTGCATCTCATACTGCTTAGTGTCTGTGGGGTACCTTTAACATATGGGTTTTTTTTTAGATAGATGAGGCTTTAAAGCAGAATTAAACTCAAAAATTTAAAAACCACTGACAGGTACAAAAGAGACCCTAGTGGAGTATTCTGTCATAAATACTTCTCTCTGCCTGTCAGCGGTAATGTATACTGAGCTGTGCATTTGCAGGTCAGAGTACAATTATGGCACGGCTTTGTGTGCCATGATGAAGTGACTCCTATGCGCACGTGTGGGAGTGAAGTCATTCAAACCCAGCTATTCAAGAAGGCGAACAGAGTACACTCGGAAGGAAAACTGGAAGAAGATGGAAATGCCTGTGACAGATAAGTCTGCCATAATGTGCAAATATGTGGTGCATACTAGCAAATTATGGCATAAATCTCTTGAGGGCACATTAAAAAAATTATTATATATAGTAGAGTTTAACTCTGCTTAACTTTGTAGTAAATTTAGATACATTCTATTGTTTTTTTTTCTTAAATTTTCATTTGGAAAACAATTAATATGATATCACACAATAGTAATTTTCATGTAATTAAATGGTATAGCTCAAAGTGAACATGGGCATTTTAACTTTTAAGAGCATTATTGCCTTTTTTAATGCTACATTGTGAGCAGGCAAAAAAAAAGAGAAACAAAGAAATGTAACTTAACTTAACATTTAACCTAATCAAGTTGGATTGGTGCAGATTCCAAATGACATTGGGTTTGCTTATGTGAGAATCTGACGCTCATGCAGTAAACACAAATGTAATCCGGATCATTGTTGGGACCTGATAAATAACTTGGGAATGGAACAATGGCCACTTATAGTCTCCATCAAAAGTGCATGTAGCAGTGTCATAATGCAGCAGAGCAATTGGGTTACAGGGATAAAGCTTTGTCACCCTATAAGAGAAAAAAGGATCTTCATAGCAGGATCACCATGTATTAGTTTAATGGAAGCTGTACATTTAAAAAAGGTTAACATGATTTATAAATTACTTTGCCATGTTAATACTTTTAGTTTAGTGACTGGGTTTTCATCTACTTTAACCACTTGCCACACCGTCACAGTACATTCACTGCGGCGGGGCAAGAGCTGCAGGAACACATATATAGCGTGCAGCGTGCCCCTCCTATGACCGCTGTTTCCACTGGACTCAGTGAATCACTGTGACCAGTAATCAGTAACCAGGTATCATGATTGCTATTATGACTTCCATTCATGAATGGCTCATTTACTGTTATTTATGACTGGCCCACAGCAATCACATGGTACCTGGCTACCTGTACCAGGTGATTAGCTGTAGCCAATTACAGATCACAACCATAAACAAGCTGTTCATGAATGGGAAACTCATTTATAACAACTAAAACTATTACTTATACAGTGATCATCACTATATAATCAATAACTGTGTTAAAAAAAACAAAATCCCTGTCACCCCCTTCCTCAGTGTAGGACAGTTTCACTGTGGTAATACTGAGCTTCTCTGATAACAAAATGTAAGAAAAAATAGTAAATAAAAAAAAAGTAAAAAAAAAAAAGAAAAAAGTGCTTAAAAAATGTAATTAAAAATTATTTATTTACTTTTACATACTGTCACCAATCAGTATCTATGATCACCACCACACCAGTCATATGATAATGCTGTACTGCAAAATGCCACAAAGGATCATTTGGGGGTTATTTGTACTGTACTGGCATTTTTGGGCCTCGAGAAATGAGATAGGCCGTCAGTACAACAGGATTGATCAATTTTCAAATATACTGTATATACCATAATCTGTAGACACTATAACCTTCGCACAAACCATTTAATATACACTTATTGGAATTTTGTTTGGTCTAAATTTCTGAGGAAATTAGATTTTTTAATTATTTGATTGTATATGTTTTATTACAGAAAGTAGAAAATTTTTTTTTTCAAATTTTTCGATCTTTTTTTTGTTTATATAAAACTCAGTGGTGATCAAATGCTACCAAAACGTAAACTATTTGAGTGAAAAAAATGATATAAATTTCATTTGCGTACAGCATTGCATAACTGAGCAATTGCCAGTTAAATTAGCACAGTGCTGAATAGCAAAAAATGACCTGGTCATAAACAGGATAAAACCTTCCTGGAGTCAATAGTTAAATGATATACTTTATTATTTTTTTTAATGAGAGAATAAAATGGTGAAAATAATGAAAAAAGTGAATATGAAAAAATGCTCTGGTCATGAAGGGGGTATAACCTTCCAGGGCTCAAGTGGATAAAGTAACTTGTTGGTACATTGTACTTTTTTATACTACCGTTAAAAAAAATAGAAATATCTATCTGCAGGCAAGCCAAACATTTATAAGTGCTAAATATTTCAATCTTGACAGTCAAAAAAAATGATACAAAAGAGAATACCAATGTTAATTAGACAGACATATTTGCAAAGCTAAAAGCCATATGCCACTCTTATTTAAGGAGTTTGTTGTATTATTATTCTGCTATAGTATTAAAGAAAAAACAGTTTTCGTAAATTAAAGTGTTACTAAACCCACAACAGTAAAATCAGCCTGTATATGCAGTAAAACATGCTTGATATACTCACTCTGGAACCTAAGGGGTTAATCCTCCGCATTGTGTAAAAAGGCTGTTTGATCCTGTCTTCTCTGATTCTCCCCTTCTCCCCTCTTATCTCACACATATTGTTTGGAGTCACTCTGCACATGCTCAGTTTGGTGTGTATTGCTAGAGGTTTTTTTTTTCTTGGGATAGTGCATGTGATCAGCACAGGGCCAATCAGCACTGTCCAGACAGAGGGTCAGGGGTCCGGCAGCCTCCTAGAGCAGAAAGAAGACTCCTCCTACAGCTTTAACCAGTGCTCTGCTGAGCACTAATAGAAGTCACAAGACTGCTATATACTGCTGAGGAGAAAAGGTATTTAGTAGTTTATATATATTAAAATAATTGCATTCCCATGTTCTGTGTGCTGTGGGAGACTGGATAGAGTGAATGCAGGGTCCTGGGTTTAGTAACACTTTAACATAATAAAAAACTGAAACAGGGTGAGTGAGCGCAAATCACAAGACAGCAGCTAGCACACAAGGCAATCCTCAACACCAAAAAAAACAAAATATACAAATGGTATGCAGCGCTAAATAGTATACCAACCACCAATGTAAAGATGGATGAGACAGTAAATTAACAGTCAAAATATGAATAGTTCCATGTAGATGAAGATATAAATATATAAATGTTAAAATCCAATCCGGCTTGTGGACAAATCCAGTAAATGATTGCGCTTACCACAAAAACATACAAACAGGGCGTTGTATGTATAAGATGGACATCAGGGCCTGGTCAGCAACTAGGACAGCATCCGGTCACCATATGAGACTTCCAGGAATGGTGGAAACCCCCCACGGTCATCTCCGGTTTTACCAGCAGGTCCAACGAAGTCCTCTCCACGCACTGCTCATCTGGATCGCTCCACCTTGATAGCGCTCATGAATAATGAGCCAGAGCAAAATGGGCAATGATAGTGAAGTTTGTTTTAATGGGTGAACAGTAGAATATAAAGTAAAGAACTCACAAGATCGGAAAAACACAGCCCAGGTCAAACGAAGAAGTTCCCTGGTGATCTGTGGTTCCCTGGTAATCTAATGGCGTCTGTTGGGTGGATCCCCTAACATGTTTTCGAGCCACGCTCGTTCAACATAATATTGAGCTAAAATCAATATGGGTGGTCACTAAAATTTCAATTTACATTGGGTTTCCTTACATGAGTATTTGAGGCATGTGTGGTAAATACAAATGTAATCCAGATCATTGTTGGGACCTGGTGAATAACAATG